GTGGAGTTAGAAGTGGTGCTACAAGCTATGATTGCCTACTTGGCAGATGAGAAACATGATGTCACTATTTATTTTGTTTCATAACAGAAATACGTAAATTGATGTTGTATGGGAAGTTCTAAAAAGTAACTGGATCCAGATTTTGAATTTTCCTTATTGTTTTTAAAATTTTGATTTGCTGTATCCCATAAACTGCAAGCATTAGAAAGGCGACATGAGCTACAGATTCACAAAATGAGTAATTTAGTTTATATTACATATTTTGTAAATAATTGCTTTTCATTGAGTCACTAAGACAAGGTGAAAGTACAATGGGTGCGATTTTAACACGGAGGAACCTCTGAATTAACTTCCTAGCTTAAGGAAACCTCTGCCAATAATTATTAGATCCACAGCCATTGGAACATTAGTGTGGTGCTCAGTGGAAGGAATAATCCTTATATCGGTGTTCAGAGGGAAGAATGCCCCTTATAGAGAGTTATAAAAGATCACTGGTGTCAATGGTAATGGCAGAAGTTACTTATTTTCAAGAAAGCCCTAACAAAAACCCTGGAGGATCTCTAGGGTTCCTTGAAACCCTGGTTGAGAAAGGCGGGACGAGTCAAAAAATGTTTGCCATATTCACCCACTTGTGGCAAAAATAGATAAAAACCAAGTAAGTAAAGAACTATGCACATGTTCTGTACTATGTGACATCTTTTTTATGCTCTGTTTGTCTGTCTTTTCATTTCAGGAAGCCAGCTGTGCCTATGCCATTATCCTCATGGCTGTGTTCTGGTGTACGGAGGTTATCCCCCTTGCAATCACTGCTTTGCTACCAGTTTTGCTCTTCCCAATGTTTGGAATTCTGGAATCAAAACAGGTAACATTAGATGTGTTCCTCTTGTTTCTCCAAGAATGCTACTGATTAGGTGATTAGGAGCTGCATTTCCACTCCTCTGTCATTTTTTTGAATTATTTGTTTACATTGTTATCACTATAGCATTGCAATAGTGCTCATATCTATGACGTGTAATAAAAAAATATGTGCAAACAAAGGGCAGTGATGTGGATTAACTGATGTGGATAATTTTCCGGTGGAAACTTTAGGAGGAATAAATTATTATTATTATTATTATTATATACAGGATTTATATAGTGCCAACAGTTTGCTCAGCGCTTTACAATATAAAGGGAGACAATACAGCAACAATACAGTTCAATACAAGAGGGATAGGAGGGCCCTGCTCCTTGGAGCTTACAATCTAGGAGGCACGGGTTAGTGGTACAAAAGGTAATAACTGTGGGGATGGACTGGTAGGAAGGGTAGAAGATTCCATTATTAGCTGAGGGTAGGATAGGCTTCCCTGAAGAGATAGGTTTTCAGAGATCGCTTAAAAGTGAGCAGAGTAGGCGATAGTCTGATAAATTGGGGGTAGAGAGTTCCAGAGGATGGGAGAAGCTCTGGAGAAGTCCTGGAGATGAGCATGGGAGGAGGAGACAAGGGAGCTAGAGAACAGGAGGTCTTGTGAGGAGAGGAGGCTAGGAGTACGGTTTGTGTGATATTTTGGAGACAAGATTGCTGATGTAATTTGGGACAGAGTTATAAATGGTTTTATATGTTATTTTTAATGTTTTGAATTTTATCTGTTGGGCAATGGGAAGCCAGTGGAGGGATTGGCAGAGAGGGGTGGCTGATACAGAACGGTTAGTAAGGTGGATAAGTCTGGCAGCAGCATTCATGATAGACTGAAGAGAGGATAGCCTGCGATGAGGTAGGCCAATGAGGAGGGAGTTACAATAGTCAAGGCGAGATATAACAAGGGAGTGAATAAGTTGCTTAGTGGTTTCCAAGGTTAAGAATGACTGTATCTTGGAGATGTTGCTGAGGTGAAGTCTACAAGATTTGGACAGCGATTGGATTTGGGGCTGAAAGGACAGATGGGAGTCTAGGGTTACACCTAGCACCCTGGCATGGGTGGAGGGACTGATGATTGTGTTATTGATTTTGATGGAGAAGTCAGGGGAGGGGGCACGGGCTGGAGGGAATACTAAGAGCTCAGTTTTGGAAGTGGAGTGACATCCATGCCGATATGTCACTTAGTAGGTTAGTAATGCGAGAGGAGACTGAAGGGGTAAGGTGAGGGGTAGAAAGATAGATTTGTGTGTCATCAGCATAGAGATGGTACTTAAAGCCGTGGGAGTTTATCAAGTGACCAAGGGAGGAGGTGTAGATGGAGAAGAGTAGGGGCCTAAGGACGGAACCTTGAGGGACCCCTACAGAAAGAGGGAGTGAAGAAGAGGAGCCAGAGTTATAAGTAACGCTGAAGGAGCGCTGCAATAGGTAGGAGGAGAACCAGGAGAGAGCAGAGTCTTGGAGGCCAAGAGAGTGGAGTTTTTTTTTGAGGAGGGTATGGTCAACCGTATCAAAAGCCACAGAGAGGTCGAATAGTAAGAGTACGGAGTAGTGGCCATTGGTTTTAGCAGTTAGTAGATCATTAGTGAGTTTTAGTAGGGCAGTTTCAGTGGAGTGTAGTGAGCGAAAGCCAGACTGTAAAGGGTCAAGAAGGTTGTTGTCAGTGAGGTAGCAGCTAAGCGTTCTAAGAGTTTAGAGGTAAATGGGAGCAGGGAGATGGGTATTAGGTTTTTCAGGTTGGTGGGATCCAGGGAGGGCTTTTTAAGTATGGGAGTGATGTGTGCATGCTTTAGAGGGGAGGGGAAGGCACCGTTAGAGAGGGAGAGATTGAAGATGTGAGTGAGGGAGCATAGGACGGAAGAAGAGGGTGACTGTAGTAGTTGTGAGGGGACAGGATCCAGGGGGCAGGTAGTGAGACAGGCTTCTGGGGAAAACCTTTGGTGACCTCTTCGGTAGTAGCAAGGTCAAAAGAGGAAAGTGTTGAAGGAGGTTTTAGTATAAGCTATGCTAAGTGAGATGGATGTCTGTGCAGTGGCGATGCCCCTACGAATTGCATCAATCTTGCTTTTGAAATGACTTTCAATCTTGTGAGCAGTGAGTGAGGTGCTGGGTGGAGGTGAAGGTGCAGAAAGTAGAGAGTTAAAAGTAGAGAAGAGACGCCGAGGACTGGATGATAAGCTATTGATGAGAGTGACAAAGTAGGCTTGTTTTGGCAGCATGGAGGGAGGAATTGTATGTTAAGAAAGCAGATTTATATAGGGTGAATACTTGTTGAGATTTGGTTTTACGCCACAATCGCTCCAGCGCATGACTATGTCTGTTAGGAATGGACTGGCCAGCAATGGTGGGACTCACCTGCCTTTTGATCTGCAGTACCAGGGCTGGCCAGCGGGTGCTCCCAGCAATCAGAGACTCAACCTTTCAGCCAGCTAACACCTGGAACTGATGATGCTGGGGTATTTAAGGGATGGCCAGACCCACAGACTCTGCCTTGGTGTTGTGTTTGTCCTGGGCCCTGTATCTGTCCTGCATCCTGTTTCTGTCCCTCTGCCTGACCCTCTGTACTACGCTGCTTGTTACCTGTTTTGATCTCTGGCTTGTGACCCTGACCATCCCTCTGCCTGACCCTCTGTACTACGCTGCTTGCTACCTGCTGAACCTGGCCTGTGACCCCGACCATTCTCTGCTTGCTCCCCCTGTACCTACCTGCCCAATTGATATTGACCCGGCCTGCCTGGCGACGCTTGCTTGTATGTACTGTTATCTGTGGGTGGTTTGGTTTGGTTTGTTTGCACTGTATTATGTTTAGTATTGCACTGCGTTTATGTTTGTATGGTTAGTGTTAATAAATTGTATTGTTTATCACATATCTGAAGTCTGCGTTTCCCTGCATCAGTCACACACCTCTGGTCATACCTGGGAGCCCTGACATTACACCAAGGCCAATCCTGACCAGAAGTGGCTGGCTGCACAGGGAAGCCATCTTGGCTTGTTGATGGGAAGGATGGATCTTGATGAGGTTGAATATTTATATCTGCTAGTGTTTGATGACAGGGAGTATGCTTATCAAACTCTGAAGGAGTATACCCGGGATGAACTGCTAGAATGTATACGGCTCGCTCATGTTCTAGTAGATCAGGGCACAGAGTTCTCTGAGGTGCAGCCTTTGATTGAGGTTTGTGCTGAGTTGGTTTCATCTGGTTCCCCCGAATGCAGGGATGAATTTTTGCCACCATTTAGTGCAGACCAGGTAGAGTCCCTGGTGTGGTTATTAGAGGATGATGTGGGTTACTTTCTGGAGCGTTATTCCACATGTTCACCACAGACACTAAGAGATTGTATAAACGCAGTACAGTCATTGACCAGACAGGCTTTGTGTAAGCTCAGCTTTGTTCAACCCATACTGCAGACATGGACAGATTTGTTGCACCCAGAGCCTCAGTCAGCTTACAAAGACCCAGTCCTGCTTCTAATCTATTTCCTCAAAACTCTATTCCTGCATTCCCAACAGCTCCTCCTGCCCTGCTATCTACCGCATGTCAGTACCCTGTTTCCCACTCGCTGCACACTATCCTGCCTTTAACCCTGTAAAAAAGCCCTCTGTAGCAACCGCTCCCTCTCCTGTTCCATCCTCCAGTTCTTCTCTGTCTCCAGCTGCTCCATTTGTTTGCATGACCTGCGTTTACTTGCAGTGCTCCAGTAGTTAAAACCAGAAAAAAAGCGAAAATTCTTTCCAACCCAATACCATCCTGCCAGTATCCAAACCGGTGAGCCTGCCTTCCGTGGTTCAGCCTGATGCAGCCTCTACTCAGCCTGATGCCTCTACTCAGCCTGATGCCTCTACTCAGCCTGATGCCTCTACTCAGCCTGATGCCTCTCTTCAGCCTGATGCCGGTACGCAGCCTGATGCCTCTCTTCAGCCTGATGCCTGTATGCAGCCTGATGCCTCTCTTCAGCCTGATGCCTCTACTCGGCCTGAAGCCTCTACTCGGCCTGATGCCTCTACTCGGCCTGATGCCTCTACTCGGGCCTGATGCCTCTACTCGGCCTGAAGCCTCTACTCGGCCTGATGCCTCTACTCGGCCCTGATGCCTCTACTCGGCCTGAAGCCTCTACTCGGCCTGATGCCTCTACTCGGCCTGAAGCCTCTACTCGGCCTGATGCCTCTACTCGGCCTGAAGCCTCTAACTCTGGCCTGAAGCCTCTACTCGGCCTGAAGCCCTCTACTCGGCCTGAAGCCTACTACTCGGCGGCCGGACGCGGCATTCAGCCTGATGCCTCTACCCAGCATGATGAACTGATCCAGCCTGACGATCCTATTAGGCCAGTTTGACTCGATGCCCGCTGTTGATCCAGATGATGATCCGGTACCTGATTCTGGTGCCCGCTGTCGAGCCAAATGACCTGATGCCTTGGTGACCCAGTGCCCGCTGTTCATACCGGGTGACCCCGATTGCCCGCTGTCGAGCCAGACAATCCGGTACCTGATGACCGGTGCTCACTGTCGTGCATGTTGACATCGCTGGAGCCCACTGCTCACTTGCCAGATGACGCGGTGCCCGCTGTCGAGCCAAATGACCTGATGCCTGGTGACCCAGTGCCCGCTGTCCAGCCAGACGATCCAATGTCTGACCCAGTGCCAGCGGTGGTCATCCCAGTTGACTCGGAGGGGGAGGGTGGGGGGGGTGGGGGGGGGAGTGCCCACGGTTGTGCCTGGTGACTCGGTGCCCGCCCGCCCCGCCTGGGGCCCTGAGACCCTGTCGTTCCGCCTGGGGGTCCGGCCCCGCCACTCCGCCTGAGGGTCCGAGATCCTGTCTCTCCGCCTGGGGGTCCGGCGCCCGCCGCTCCGCTTGAGGGCCCGAGACCTGTCTGCGCTCCGCCTGTGGGGGTTCCGGCTCCCGCCGCTCCCGCCTGAGGGCTCCCGAGGGACCTGTCGCTCCTCCTGGGGGTCCGGCGCCCGCGCACGCTCCGCCTGAGGGCCCGAGACCTGTCGCTCCTCCTGGGGGTCCGGCGCCCGCGGGCGCAACCGCCTGAGGGCCCGAGACCTGTCGCTCCGCCTGGGGGTCCGGCGCCCGCCGCTCCGCCTGAGGGCCCGAGACCTGTCGCTCCATCTCGGGGTCCGGCGCCCGCCGACTCCCGCCTGAGGGCCCGAGACCTGTCGCTCCGCCTGGGGGGTCCGGCGCACGCAGCTCCGCCTGGGGGCACGATGCCTGTCGCCGCCGCCTGGGGCACGATGCCTGCTGCTTCCGCCTGGGGGCCTCCGCCGCCTGTTGCTTGGCTTCTACGCCTGGTAATCCGATGTGCCCACTGCCCGGAGTCCTAGCCCGATGTGCCTCTGCCCGGTTTCTGTCCCTGCCCGATGTGCCTCTGCCCGGAGTCCTGGCCCGATGTGCCTTCTGCCCGAGTCCTGCCCGATGTGCCTCTGCCCGATGTGCCTCTGCCCGGAGTCCTGCCCGATGTACCTCTCGCCCGGGCAGTCTCTGCCCGATGTGCCTCTGCCCGATGTGCCTCTGCCCGATGTGCCTCTGCCCGATGTGCCTCTGCCCGGTGTGCCTGAAATGCCCGGTGTGCCTCTGCCCGGATGTGCCTCTGCCCGCGGAGTCCAGCCCGGTGTGCCGCTGCCCGGAGTCCTGCCCGGTGTGCCAGTCTTTGATATCCCGCCAGTTACCAGACCCGGGCTGGTGAACAGCGCCGTTTTGCCCAGCTAGGACTGTATTGGAGCGTAACTGAGGCCGCTCCTTGGGGGGGGGGTACTGTTAGGAATGGACTGGCCAGCAATGGTGGGACTCACCTGCCTTTTGATCTGCATACCAGGGCTGGCCAGCGGGTCGGACTCCAGCAATCAGAGACTCAACCTTTCAGCCAGCTAACACCTGGAAACTGATGATGCTGGGGTATTTAAGGGATGGCCAGACCCACAGACTCTGCCTTGGTGTTGTGTTTGTCCTGGGCCCTGTATCTGTCCTGCATCCTGTTTCTGTCCCTCTGCTGAACCTCTGTACTACGCTGCTTGTTACCTTTTTTGATCTCTGGCTTGTGACCCTGACCATCCCTCTGCCTGACCCTCTGTACTACGCGTGCTTGCTACCTGCTGAACCTGGCCTGTGACCCCCCGACCATTCTCTGCTTGCTCCCCCCTGTACCTACCTGCCCAATTGAGTATTGACCGGCCTGCCTGACGACGCTTGCTTGTATGTACTTCGTTATCTGTGGGTGGTTTGGTTTGTTTGCACTGTATTATGTTTAGTATTGCACTGCGTTTATGTTTTGTATGGTTAGTGTTAATAAATTGTATTGTTTTATCACATATCTGAAGTCTGCGGATTTCCCTGCATCATCACACACCTCTGGTCATACCTGGGAGCCCTGACAAGTGTTCGTTTATTATTTCTGGTCTGTCGTCAGTCTGCCAAGGTTGTAACTAGAGATGAGCGAATCGAAGTATCCGAAGTGGAAATCGTCGAGTCGAATATCGGAAAAATTTCGATTCGTGCCGAATCCGAAAAAAACAGCCTAATTCGGACGCGCGCGAATCGAAATTTTTCCGAAAATGGCGGCTGACATGTGCGGCGACGGAGCGGGGGGGATGACATGTCGGGGAAGGCGCGCAGACAAGGCGCGCAGACAAGGCCCCATAATGCATTTCCTCAACGACATGTGATCGCATCAGCCAATCAGCAGCCTCAGCCAGCCAGCAGCAGTGTGTAATGGTGGTCGAGGTATATATAGCGGCCATTTTGGAAATCTTCATTTGCCTGCAGTCATTGAACAGAGGCACCGCTCTGTACTAAGGACAGGGACAGAGTTAGGGCCACAGAAACGAGAATTGGGGACAGAGAGAAGAAGTTACTTAGGGACAGAGAACCATTACTCAGGGACACAGTCTTGTTAATGAGGGCCACAGAATCGTTATTTAGGGGACAAAGAAACGCTAGTTAGGGCCACAGAATTTCATACTCAGGGGACAGACAGAATTTTCACTCAGTGCCAGAGAATTGTTACTTAGGGCCCACAGAAAACGTTATTAGGGCCACAGAATTTTTACTCAGGGACAGACAGAATTGTTACTGAGTGCCAGAGAAATTTTAGCTCAGGGACAGACAGAATTGTTACTGAGTGCCAGAGAATTCTTACTCAGGGCCACAGAATTCATTCTCAGGGACAGACAGAATTGTTACTCAGGGACAGACAGAATTGTTACTGAGTGCCAGAGAATTGTTACTCAGGGACAGACAGAATTGTTACTGAGTGCCAGAGAATTGTTACTCAGGGGACAGACAGATTTGTTACTGAGTGCCAGAGAATTGTTACTCAGGGACAGACAGAATTGTTACTGAGTGCCAGAGAATTGTTACTCGCACAGACACAAAATTGTTATTGCACAGACACAGAATTGTTACTCGCACAGACACAGAATTGTTACTCAGGGCCACAGAATTCATACTCAGGGACAGACAGAATTGTTACTGAGTGCCAGAGAATTGTTACTCAGGGACAGACAGAATTGTTACTGAGTGCCAGAGAATTGTTACTCAGGGACAGACAGAATTGTTACTGAGTGCCAGAGAATTGTTACTCAGGGACAGACAGAATTGTTACTGAGTGCCAGAGAATTCTTACTCAGGGCCACACAGATTGTTACTCAGGGACAGACAGAATTGTTACTCAGGGACAGACAGAATTGTTACTGAGTGCCACAGAATTGTTACTCAGGGACAGACAGAATTGTTACTGAGTGCCAGAGAATTGTTACTCAGGGACAGACAGAATTGTTACTGAGTGCCAGAGAATTGTTACTCAGGGACAGACACAGAATTGTTACTGAGTGCCAGAGAATTGTTACTCGCACAGACACAGAATTGTTACTGTGCACAGACACAGAATTTGTTACTCGCACAGACAGAATTTTACTTACTGGGCCACAGAATTTGTTACTCAGGGACAGACAGAATTGTTTACTGAGTGCACAGAGAATTCATTGTTACTCAGGGACAGACAGAATTGTTACTGAGTGCCAGAGAATTGTTACTCAGGGAGACAGACAGAATTGTTACTGAGTGCCAGAGAATTGTTACTCAGGGACAGACAGAATTGTTACTGAGTGTGCCAGAGAATTTGTTACTCGCACAGACACAAATTGTTACTTGCACAGACACAGAATTGTTACTCGCACAGACACAGAATTGTTACTCAGGGCCACAGAATTCATACTCAGGGACAGACAGAATTGTTACTGAGTGCCAGAGAATTTGTTACTCAGGGACAGACAGACAGAATTGTTACTGAGTGCCAGAGAATTGTTACTCAGGGGACAGACAGAATTGTTACTGAGTGCCAGAGAATTGTTACTCGCACAGACACAAACTTGCATTGTTATCTTGCACAGACACAGAATGTACTACTCGCACAGAGACACAGAATTGTTACTCAGGGCTTGGCACAGAATTCATTACTCAGGGACAGACAGAATTGTTACTGAGTGCCAGAGAATTGTTACTCAGGGACAGACAGAATTGTTACTGAGTGCCAGAGAATTGTTACTCAGGGACAGACAGAATTGTTATCTGAGTGCCAGAGAATTGTTACTCGCACAGACACAAAATGTTACTTGCACAGACACAGAATTGTTACTCGCACAGACAGAGAATTGTTACTGGGCCACAGAATTGTTACTCAGGGACAGACACAGAATGTTTACTGAGTGCCAGAGAATTGTTACTCAGGGACAGACAGAATTGTTACTGAGTGCCAGAGAATTGTTACTCAGGGACAGACAGAATTTTACTGAGTGCCAGAGAATTGTTACTCTGCGCACAGACACAAAATTGTTACTTGCACAGACACAGAATTTGTTACTCGCACAGACACAGAATTGTTACTCAGGGCCACAGAATTCATACTCAGGGAGACAGAATTTGTTACTGAGTGCCAGAGAATTGTTACTCAGGGACAGACAGAATTGTTACTGAGTGCCAGAGAATTGTTACTCAGGGACAGACAGAATTGTTACTGAGTGCCAGAGATTGTTACTCTCGCACAGACACAAAATTGTTACTTGCACAGACACAGAATTGTTACTCGCACAGACACAGAATTGTTACTCAGGGCCACAGAATTGTCATACTCAGGGGACAGACAGAATTGTTACTGAGTGCCAGAGAATTGTTACTTAGGGACCAGACAGAATTGTTACTGTGTGCCAGAGAATTTAATACATACTCTCAGGGACAGAATGTCAGAATTGTTACTGAGTGCCAGAGGAATTGTTACTCCACAGACAGAAATTGGACACTGTTGCACTTGACTCGAATTGTTACTCGCACAGACACAACAGATTTTGTTACTCAGGGCCACAGAATCATACTCATGGGCACAGGTCCAAGAGCATAGAATTACCTTACATGGTGCCAGAGAACGGTTACTCAGGGGACAGACAGAATTGTTACTGAGTGCACCAGAGAATTGTTACTCCAGGGGACAGACAGAACTTGTTACTGAGGTGCCAGGAGAATTGTTACTCGCACAGACACAAAATTGTTACTTGCACAGACACAGAATTGTTACTCGCCACATGACTCCAGAATTTGTTACTCGGGCACTAGACACAGAATTGTTACTTCAGGGCCACAGAATTCAACTCACTGAGGACAGACAGAATTGTTTTACTGGTGTGCCAGAGAATTGTTACTCAGGGGACACCTAATCGTTGAATTAAATAGTATGTCAGACAAGACACATGCACAGAGTGAGTTGGCAGAGGAGCTGCCATGTTTTTAGGAGCGAGCAGACGTGCAGGAGAGCAGAGGGGGGCCTCGAATGGCAAGCGCTATTCGCAGCAGAGGGCCAGTGCCTCCCTCCGTCGGGTGTACATCCAGCCGTAGAGTGTCTCTCCCACGAGAAAACCCTCCAGTCATTGATTGGGGGCTCGGTCGTCTTCCTTTCCCAGGTGACACCTTGACACCTTACAGCCAACGGTCGGTGGGTACGTCAGACACAAACCGTTAGTTGGCATGGCCCGGGACCAAGCCCACTGAAATCACGTGTCCTCTACCTGCCCCTGTCCTTTGGTGTTCCCTCAGTCACAAGCGAAGAGGTATCGCATGCTGTGGGCTCAGCCCCACATGTACAGTGAGGAAGAGGCTAACAGAGGGCGGTCAGGAAACGTTGTTATCTGGGGGAGACATCGGCCTTTTCAGCAGCCAGAGCGACACAAGTACTGGCGAGGAGAGTGGCTCAGGTAGCCGGTCTAGAGACAGGTCTCTGTCTCCTGACCCAGACGCAGCCGAGGGAAAGGGGGCTAGTAGTGAGGCGGAGACCCTACTTCTGATGATGAGGAGGTTGATCGCACTTGGCAGGCCTCGTCGTCTCATCAGGCAATTTCTTCCGCATCATCAGGAGAAGAGGTGGTGGCAGCTTGGGCCTGCGAGCAAAACAGTCGGTGGGTTGCCCAGGAGGACAGCAGCTCAGGGTCGCATCAGTGTCAGTGGGGGTAGCCAAACGTCCACGGAGCCACGGAGTAGAGCACCAGCTCCACTGCAGCCTTACCACCTACGGCCGGCCAGTAGTGGTGCGTTGCGTGGGCAGGAGGAAGTAGCAGTCAGCCCAGTGTGAATTGAGTGAGTAGCGGGGGCAAAGTTCCTACTCGGTGGTGTGGCAATTTTTCCTCAAGCCGCTCCGAGGAAGTAAAACGTTGTATTTGTCGACTATGTGGCCAGAAATGCAAGCGTGGCCAGGGGGCCCATGTTGGGGAATACAGCGTTGCGTCAGCATATGCAGCGTCACCATTCGGTGGCCTGGGAAAACCGTGATAAACGCATACGGCGGTTCTGCCTGCCCCAGCCCCCCGCTGCCATCACCCGCTCCGTTACTTGCTCCGTCACCCGTCGACGTCAAATCGCCCTCTATCAGCCAGTCAAGGCTCCAACACCTCTCACGTGCTGAGGGGAGTTGTCGCTCATTTTTTTGGCTATCTTCCGCTCGTTCAGATGCTCCTTCTCCTGCTACTCCTCTTCTCGGATTCCGTCAACAGTCTTTCTTGGAATCCGTTTATCCAAGAGACAACAGTTTGCGAGCACGCACCCGACGGTGCAAAAGCTGAACGTCCTCCTGTCCAAGTTGCTGGTGCTGCAGTCCCTCCCTTTCCAACTGGTGGACTCAGCACTTTTCCGAGAAATGATGGCTTGTGCCGCGCCGCGGTGGAGAGTGCCAAGCCGTCATTTTTTTGCCCAAAAGGCAGTGCCAGCCCTGCATTCACATGTAGAAGAGATGGTGGGCCAGTCTTTGAGCATGTCGGTCTCTGCC